CACTGATCTACTCTTTATACAGAGTGTACCAAAGTGCATGAATTATTCGCAGAAAGTTCACAAATAAACGAATAAAGCAATAATTCTTGTTATTTCGGCGTGTTGTCGTTAATGTAGATCCTTGATAATTATTTAATAACAATCAAAATCATTTAAATAATATGTAGTCGTTGAATGTTTATTTCGATCTATATATACCTAGCTATAGGAGTATAGGATTGAAAATTAGTACGCTGATAATATTTTTCAATCATTTATTTAAGAAAAAATGTACGTAAAAATACAATAGTTTGCAGTAGCAAACGACAGAAATCTATAACTAATTAATCTAGTTATTTATCCAATTGTAAATACTTAAGTATAGGTGGCGTTAAACATTAGCCATAAACGCACGCAGGTTCTCTTACTATCGCTTACAGTATTTTAGAGCAGGAAAGCCGGTTTTTGACATCTTTTAAAGGTTAACGTAAATTTAAGACGTAACAATGACAGCATTCGAAGGTACGTATTTTTCGCTAATTATATTTTTTATATTAATCGTATAAACTAAAATACAATCAAAATTATACACTTGTTATGTTGTAACATTAATTGAGTTGTCAACATATTTTCTTTATTATTACTGGTTTGTTTTAGAAATGGGTGTTTTGCCAGAACTTGGCCAGGCAGTTGATGACATGGAGTGGACGTAAGTTGAACAATATCTTCATTTTAAATATAAATTACAAGAACAATTTAAATTACAGATTACCAACAGATGTCCAAGCCGAAGCCATTCCCCTAATTTTAGGTGGTGGAGATGTATTAATGGCTGCTGAAACTGGTAGTGGAAAGACTGGGGCATTTTGCTTACCAGTTTTGCAGATTGTATGGGAAACCTTAAAAGATTTTGAGTCTGGTAAAACTAAAAGTTCAACAGGACAACAACAGCAACATTGTATGGCTCTTTTACTTTAATAATAATGTATTCTTGTGGCCACAGAATTATCTGCACAATTATTTACAGCTACTCATTGGTCGCTAAGTTTATTTGACAGAGGTCAATCATTAGCTGTAACTCCAGATGGTCTAAGATGTCAAAGTCGTGAACCAAAAGAGTGGCATGGTTGTCGAGCAAATAAAGGTGTTCAAGGCAATGGAAAGTTTTATTACGAAGCTACTGTAACTGATGAAGGATTATGCCGTGTTGGCTGGTCTACATCTCAAGTAATTATTGTTACTCTCATTGTACTTTAAAATTCATCAAGTTGTAACGATAGTATGTTTGTTAAATAGGCTTCATTGGATCTGGGAACAGACAAATTGGGTTATGGTTTTGGTGGAACTGGTAAAAAGTCAAATGCGAAACAATTTGATAGCTATGGAGAGGCTTTTGGAATGAACAATGTAATTGGATGTTATCTGAATTTATCAAAGGGTGAAATTAGCTTTTCAAAGGACGGTATAAATTTTGGTGTAGCATTTACTTTAAATGCCCAACAAAAATCTCAAACGTTTTATCCAGCTGTTGTATTGAAAAACGCAGAAATGTCTTTTAATTTTGGAGCACAGCCATTTAAATATCCACCTCCGAATGATTACACAGCTGTTGCTTCTGCTCCTAAAGAATTCGTGAGAGAAAACCCAATAAACAGTAGTCAGGTTCAAGGTAAAGGGGATGGTAAACCAAAGTGTAATGCACCTCAAGCTATAATCATAGAACCTTCTAGAGAACTTGCTGAGCAAACCTATAATCAAATTCAAAAAGTAAGTTTCCATTAGCCACTATTAACAAAAATATTTAATTTTGAAAAGTATTAAATGGTATTTCTATTTAGTTTAAAAAACATTTGAAAGATCCAGTCATTAGAGAGTTATTAGTTATTGGAGGAGTAAGTGTGAAAGAACAAATTTCAGTGTTGAATTCTGGTGTGGATATAGTAGTTGGAACACCAGGACGTTTAGAAGATTTAATACAAGGCGGATATTTAGCATTAACACATTGCAGGTATTTTGTAAAACATCGCGTACGTACAGGTTTGATTACAATAGTTATTCTCATAATATAATATATTTTTAGATTTTTTATTTTGGATGAAGCTGATGGTCTATTGAAGCAAGGTTACACCGAATTAATCGATCGTTTGCATAAACAAATTCCTAAAATTACATCCGATGGGAAAAGATTACAAATGATAGTATGTTCAGCTACATTACATGCATTCGAGGTCAAGAAAATGGCTGTAAGTATCTATGAATACAATTTATACGCGGCTAATGTTTTATGGAACGGTTTATAAAACGTTTTCACATTCTATAGGAACGTTTAATGCATTTTCCAACATGGGTAGATCTTAAAGGTGAAGATGCAGTACCCGAAACAGTGCATCATGTTGTTGTAACAGTAGATCCACAGAAAGATACTTGTTGGCAAAATTTAAGAAAATCTATACAAACTGACGGTGTACATAACAGAGACAATATAAGACCTGGAAGCAACAGTCCTGGTATATCATAAGTCACACAATATCTTCATAGATCATTGCTTTACACGCTTAACTACATTTATTTTCCAGAGACTCTTTCTGAAGCTGTGAAGATATTAAAAGGTGAATACTGTATTCGCGCTATCAAGGAACACAATATGGATAGAGCAATTATTTTCTGCAGAACCAAGTTGGACTGCGATAACCTGGAGCGATATTTGAAACAGTCAGGTGGAAATCAGTTTTCATGCGTGTGTTTGCACGGCGATCGAAAACCTCCTGAACGTAAAGCTAATTTGGAAAAATTCAAGAAGCAGGAAGTCAAATTCTTAATCTGCACCGACGTTGCAGCCAGAGGATTGGATATTTCAGGATTACCTTTCAGTAAGTGTATCTTACTTTGATTTAATAAATGTATGTGTGACTTTTCCATACAACTGATAGTACAATTTTCTTTCTAGTGATTAATATAACTCTACCCGATGAGAAATCGAACTACGTACATCGTATAGGTAGAGTTGGTAGGGCCGAAAGAATGGGTCTAGCTATTTCTTTAGTTAGCAAAGTACCTGAAAAGGTATGGTATCACGGGGAATGGTGTCCTACTCGCGGAAAAAACTGTCAGAATACTAATCTTACCAACCAGGGTGGTTGCTGTACCTGGTACAACGAACCAAACGTAAGTTCCAATCTAGTACAAGTTACGTGTTATTATTCTCTACTCAAGTATCGTTTGTGATTGTCGATATCGTTCTGAATTTTGTTCCTTTTAGTATTTAGCTGAGATCGAGGATCATTTAAACGTTACAATTCAACAAATTGAGCCAGATTTCAAAGTTCCGATGAACGACTTTGACGGAAAAGTTACTTACGGACAAAAGAAAGCAAATATGGGTTCGTATCCTTAGCATTTGTGTCATACAGTGATCTTTATATACAGGTACTTAAATGTTTATCAATTTTCAGGTTCAAACTATCAAAATCATGTTCAACAAATGGCACCCTATGTCTCCCAGTTAACTGCGTTAGAATCGAAAACGCAACTTCTCTACTTGAAAAGACATATGGCTGCTGCAAATTAATTACTTAATCTCCGATATGTTACTCTAGTATACGGATAATCTCTTAATATTTATAAACAGTGTGTACTTTTACATATAATGTACAAATTTGTTACAAATAATATAATCTCGATTAACGTATAATTTGATAGCCAGACTTTACGATCACCTGAACGTGAATGAACTCGTAAGAGAGCTTACATAATATTCTTATATAAAAAGAAAAAAAAAACGTGTACGATGTAAATAGCTTTTGCATATGTGTATATAAGACATACGGCAAGTGTTTATTGTATCATTATAATTTTCATAATTGTACCATCGGTATTTCAGTTACACAAATGTATAATACAGTGGCCTTGCAGTGTTTGGTTTTGTAATTTTCACAATATCTTTTTCTTATCGTCTTCTTTTTTTTTTCTTGCTGTATATGTGCATGCGCACGCGCACGCGCGTTATGATCAGAATTTTGTATAATATATCGTACTTATAGAATTTACTAAATGACTTTTGTTTAATTACACATAATAATTTATACACATTTCTTGAAATCAATGGTAAACGGCTAAAGTTAGTTATACAGTATACAAATCATACCATTTCTTCCCCGCACTCGGGTATATATATTTTCAGTGTAACGTTTTACGCGTTTCTCACTTTTCTTAAACAATGTGTACGATTTGCGTGTCCAAACGTTGCTTGCTTCCCATCGCGCGGATATTAACGTGTTGAACCATTTAATTATCCGCTAAATAAATTCATTTAATCAGCGTAGATCCAGGAAAATGATTTCTTTCGATATTTTTCCCCCATCATATTCGGACAGTCATCACAGAACGAGAATGAAATATTTTTCTTTTTTTTATCTTTTGTAATCTAAAAACACATTTACAGTCGTACATGGTCATTCACGCTTCGCGATACACTCACGGAGTCATTCGTCCGCGTTAACTCGGTGAATTATATTTATATGTATATAATATACATATATGTATATACATATATGATATATATATTTATTTGTGTATTTATATGTATATCAGTTTATCATATACACTACACGTCCACCCCATGATTCTTACTTGAATAGCCATCGACAATATGATCTCGAATGATCAATTTCTTTACGATATCTTTTCGCAACTTTGTTGACTCGTATCTTTTATGTTTCAGTTTTGTCATAAACATCCATTAGTCTGTCTTAAAAAAAAAAAAGAGATATTATTACTCGTTGACGTTCAGAATATCATGAGGTGGACAACATTAATTTCATTTCCTAACAAATTTTCTCGAGTTACTCGGTTATTCATTTACAATCACGTGTGTATAGTTTCCCCGTTTTTTCATTTACTTCGACGCGTTTAATTCGTATAATCAGCGTTTTTATCGTACGCATCTCACTCTTGAACGGTTACTCCTTACTTTCGTGTCTGCGTTTCGATGATAATTCATCCTTTAAGTTCTCGCCTAAACATATTTCCTAAGAGACACGCAACAACGAATTCGTTAAGAATTATTTAGAGGAGGTGAATAGACAGGCTTTAGGAGATAGGGAGCGCAAAGTGAGTGTCGGTGGTGAGCTTGGTGACTCTTTTCTCCTGCGAGTGGGAAAACTCTAGAATAGGTACGGGGATCAAGAATGAATTAGAAGGGCCTCCAGGACAAATGGTTTAGATTAGAGTAGCTCCTGTCTAGGTCATCCTCTTTTCCTTCATTCATCTAACCTCTTGTTTGACTTAAAAACAATAACGTGGTCTCAAGTTGGGAATATTGTCCGTGACCTGGTCATAGAACGAAAGATCACGAGGCAACTCGCGTCGATCAATGACAAATCGATCAATCTTTATAACATAAGATCACTGTTGGGTCTCTAAATTTTCTAATACAGCAAAGAGCTCATGTAGGACGAAGAATCAACAAAAAGCGTTGGGACCATACAGAGATGGGTAAATTTTATTCTAACGATAGATAAATAAAACAAGATATCCATTAGTGACGATTATTCGATCAGTTGAACTGAGAATAAAGAGATTGTATAGTACCTTTCTCTCGTTAACACCTTGCCAACCGTGGTTTTCCTCAATTAATTTATCAAGAAAAAACAATGATGTATTCGTGAGAAACAGATATGCAAAAATTGTTCGATTAGAAAATTTATAAGCAACGGTTTTTTTTAAATAGAAATAATAAGAAGGGAGTGAACGAGTAAGACTAGAACACATAACCTCAATTTGTACTTTCTTTAAAAATTAGTTCTTATCTACCACCTGTGAACGTTATCTTCGATTTTTAATCGCATATTCAGTTAGCGTAAACACGTTTATTGTTTGGCAAAGAGGAAGGTTTCCTCGATTAATTGGCAATGTGTTAATCGACACTTTTATCTAAATAAACATTTTGCACGTCTCTGCCCACGATATACCAGCAAATACGAATATTACTCGATAGGGAATACTAATGGAGCTTTTTTTATTGAAAACTTGAGGGACTTGGTGCTAAGGGGAAAGACTGACACATAAACCAAAGAATCAAGGCGATCAAAGATTCATATCCTTCGATGTTCTGCGTTACTATACTTGACATCCAAGAAGAACATGTTTCTCTGATTACCTTAGTTAGATCTTTGATATGCAAGCTTCTTTAGAAAAAATACGAAGGTTCGTCGAAGAAATTGTTCACGTTTTGCGACATTTAAGCACAATTGTATGTTTACACGTTGAATGAAACGCTCGTTAATCGTTAACTGGAAGTGGAAATGTTTAAGGAACATTCCAACGCAAATATTCCGTGAAATTATAACCGCTCGACACAAAAGTTCTTTGTGTTTTTAGTTGAAATTCGCGTTTGCTGTTCTTAATCGATTCTGATAAGTGGATGCGCGTCTTCGATTCACCCGGAAGAGATAAGAATTTTGTACGGCTGCGCCGTGAGTTGTTGAATCAGTAATCGTAATCGTGATTCGTTTGAACTTATTGACTCTCTGTACGTCTGTGCTTGCGTCATTGATTTAATGATTCCATCCAACCTTCGGACCAATTTAATAAGATATAATGCTAGCCTGATCGTAATAAACGTTGAAAAGTGTTTTATCCCAAAAATTATTGCATCGACTTATGCGCGTTCGCGCATGACCACGATCCGGGCTTTAGATAAACTCGCATCTTCGAAAAGAAAATCCTTTCTTTTTTTTTCTTCTTTTGTTTTTGTTTGTTCGTTAAACGCAGAAAATAGACATTTCTCTTTTATCAACACAAAATGACTACGTTTACGAAAGACGAACACTTTTCTATTATTTTAAAGATAACCACATTTGAAATACAATATTACAATGTTTACGTTCGTTCAGATCTGCGCTGATCGTGGTCGTTTAAATAAATACATATGCACATGTGTATATGTATGCCTTTCAATATACACATGTATATATGCGTCTAGATCGTATTAGATGGATCTAATTTATTCCGAACGTAGCATTCTTCTTTTTCTTTCTTTTTTTTAACAATGATTTGCAGCGGTAATCGCTAATCACAATGACAATGATAATATTAATATTAACGGCAATAATGACAATGGGGATGAACGTGATGAAGATTATGAACGATGATGAATAATGGCGGCGGCGACGACGGCGACGACGACGATGATGATGATAATAATAATATAATTACATTATCCGCTTCAATAAAATCTGACTGTGTAAAGACAATTTTTTATCGAATAACAGTGTAACGATAAGACGATCACAATAAATGACTCTGTATTCTTAACATAAACGTGAATATGGTAACGCAAAACGCGTATTTGTTTATCTACTTCGTAGACGTTGTCTGGCTTCGTCAGAAAGACGCGTAACGATCGAAAATTTTATAAAATTCCAGAATTCAATTCAATTCTCTACTCGTAGGCTGGAACTCGTCGCTCAGCGATTTATAAATTGTTTTAACTTCATTTAACATGAACCAATTAAGATACTCGATGACGCAATCGTGCATATCTGGATGAAATTATGTCTCGTTTAATTCAGACGCTGTTAATCACCGTTGCATCACCGTGCAGCATTTTGCATCTTGTTTCGTTACGCCGATTCCAACCGCGCCCAGTCGTCTACTTTGACTTTCGCTTTCTTTTTTTACTTCTCTTTTAAGGCAATACTCCCAGCAACATGGTCCACGAAGTGTATCGCGTGTACGTGACGAAATGGCACGCTTCGTGGACGATGTGTACCACACTCTGCTCTCATCGACGATTTTTTATTCGCTCGAGGGGATCGCAACAGAAAAAAAAAAGAAATAAAAAGATAGAAACAAGAAGAACAAGATCTCTATCCCTCAAATTACGACTGGGCCGCTCGAGACAATCACAAGCGTCGAGGAGAACGAAATTTCTTCCTTCGTTAAATTTTAACGTGGCTATATATGGTCGAGGGACAGCTTTCGAAAGATTTAAATGCAAAACTTGCTTTACGCGTTGTGCGTTCGCGCGATTGAGGAAATCGACATACGAGGAAAACAATATTAACAATATTGATCGGCTTATATTGTTCAAATTGTTTCGTGAGCTGATCAACACTGTGAATACAACATTTAAATGATCTATGGGATCATTATTGTGCTCAAAACGTCAATATTCTTCGTACAAACTGAGCGTCCGATCGTATATCATTTACGATTTCCATTCGATCGCGAGGCACACGCTCAATTTTGAAATCAGCTTCGTCAAAGTATCGATACGTCATTGCTTTGTGTCCATACGATCCTGTCGTTATTGTATTTACAAATAATAATAATAATAATAATTACTTGCACCGCTTAGTTTTTACATGTACATATTCACATGTCTGGTACATTGTACGTACAATAAAAGAAACAAAACTTGTGCGATCGGCGTATGTATACAATGTGTGTGTGTGTGTGTGTGTGTGTGTGTGTGTGTGTGTGTGTGTGTACACACATATATAGATCAGTAATAATCGTGGCCACGTAAATTGTTTATTAATACGGCATCCGTTTGTTTCGCTTGCATACGCGCACACAACAACCGATTAATAATTACATTTACAAATTTCGTTTACATTTAACAAGTAAATACCAAATATCGGTTTTGCTTCGTATTCTGTTTGTACGTGTATGTGTGTTATTGCATTGCGGCTGATCGAAAAACGGACAATTAAGTTTACGTGACGTTGACCATTTACACGCAGCTTTTCTCATAGGTAAGCGAACTGTATTTTCCATTCTCCTTTTTTTTCGGTTGTCCGACCCCGCTGGATAAAGCAGTCGAAATTAGAATGAACGCATTTGATTCTATATGTATATATATAAATGTGTATATATATACATATAAATATATTTATAAAAAAAAGGGAGAGAAATGAAAGAAAGTATAAGAATACTCGCGACAATACTAATTACACAATATTCGTTCATATTCGCTAGCATACACGAAATGATGGTTCGCATACATCTCTTTGTGCTGGGTGAACAATTAAAGTTTCACGGAAGTTTCGAGAGTTTAATAATACTCACTCGAGACAGGCTCACATGGTTCCTTTCTCTCCCTCGCATTCTTACAATCTCTCGCATCTGTCATTACAGATTTACAGTAAAAATAACACTTCGTAAAGTTATAAATACCGTTTTACAAACTATGGCTGTCAGTTTATGTAATTAGTACGATAGGTATACATATATACGTATGCACACGGGCCCATATACATTGATATTACACGAGAGTACATTTACGAGGAAGCGGGCTCGTGTCGGTATGTACGGAGTAACCGTTATGCAATTTCCGGAATTTCTATCCTCATCGTTTTAACGGCCACATCTCCGCGAGATACGATTAGATGTGATGTATCGCTTGAGCGGACCAAAACGAGATTACCCAGGCTGTTGGATAAACATCTCTGCAAAGGACACGAGAACGAACAAGTTTCGTTGACATAGATCTTCGTGGAAACGAGACAACGCAAACGGGTAAAAGCGTAAAAATTCAAACACAAGTCGCCGTTAATTTTTTTCAAGAAACGTTCTCGCGAGCACACTTTTTTCCGCGCTGTGCGGAATACAAATAAATGAACGTTTAGCAAAAATAAAAAAAAAAAAAAAAAGATGAGCAAACACGGTCGAATTTACTAAAAAATTTCCGTAACGAGGTAATAAGGATAGCAAGACCGGCGCCTCCATTGTAGTACGGTCACATTATGTAAACCTTTCGAAACACGACTTATTCGTATATTCTTATTTTACTCGGTTTAATTTGACTTTAAACTCTCGTTTACCTATTATAAAAGTAGACGTTACATAGATTCGGTAATCCGCGGTTGATCCAGCAACACGAGAGTGCATGTACGTGGATGAACGCGCTGCGAGGAAGAAGAGCGTTGCGTTTACAGATGAATTATTTCTTTCTTTCCTTGTTAACACGTATTAATTTATTAATTTATATACGTATAATAGCGTGTATATATATACACGCACGCATGCACGCACGCACGCACGCACGCACGCACGCACGCACACACCTGTACTTTTGAAGCAGTTCGCACACGCGTACAAGCACTTTGTCCTCTGGATACGGTGTGTTGTCGAATGACAAAAGAAACAACAATAGTTAAGATTCAACGTAAACGATAGGAGATTTTTTACCATATACAGGGTGTCCAAATAGCATCGTCGAAAGGAATTTAATTGCAAAGACACGCGAGATAAAAAGTTCACTTGGGTACAGAATCGTTCGTATTGTAGCACGTTCCGATGACAAAAATTGATTTATGGATGCTCGGATCAAAATTTTGTACACGTGATCGTGTGTAACGTATATCTTTAGGACGCGAAGCATCGTTCGGAAATGAGACGCGGAACTTTGACGTTACAAAGTCGAATAAATAAGCAACATATTATATCTCTGTATGTTTATAACGTTTACATTGACATACTTTGACTGTAAAACTTTGAGCCTAACGCTAGTCAAAAAAACGTGTACGTGTAAAACGAATTTTTTCAACAATGGCACATCTCTTGCACAGTTGAGGATTTACATACGTAGACGTCACTCTAGCTACAACGACAGTGTGTGCCTAAGTACACGAATTAAAGTATCTCAAATGGAACGAAAAAAATCGGTAAAAAACGATATCGTTGAGGAATCTCGATCCATTAGGAAACGTACATAAAAACATGAATCCGTGGACGGTCACCCTGTACATATTTGATACATAGTTATACAATTAAAACGCTCTTCGAAATACTGTAAAATCTCACAAAATACTCTTCTTGTAAAAAGGTGCGGCTGAGACTTCTACGGGTCGGGCCGATGTGATTTAAAATGTCGAGATTCGGAAGTCGAAGAAAAAGAAAAATATCAATTTTCCAAAAGAAATAAAACACGGGAAGTCGAATAATTGAATCGTCACGGGGCGAAGGTGGAGGGTGAGGAAAAATAGAGATTCGAAAAAAAAGTAATAAAATTGAGTAAAAGAAACGTTTAACGACAAGGACATTATCGGAGAAATCACCTAAGTTTTAGGAAACGTTCTTAATGGTAAATCCGATAACGATAATTAAACCTGCGACGAGTGTGCCGGACGAAAATAGTCGTTACGCGAGTAGCCCCGGCTCGTTACACTGTAACGCCGTGGCCCGAAATGTTAAAACATTCGTTCACTCTCTTATCAACGAATTGATGCGTAATAAGAATAAAATTAACGAGGTAATCGGTAAATTGCACGTGTTTCTCAGCAACGAACATTCATCATGTTTTTATATTTCTCTCTCTCTCTCTCTCTCTCTCTCTCTCTCTCTCTCTCTCTCTCTTCTCACCCAAAATCGACGTTCAGCACATTCTCGTCGAACCTAAAAGGGAGTAGTCGAGTAACGATCGGAAACGTTCGGAGATTGTTATCCATTGAAAACGATTGTTGCAAGAGTAGAATGGCGTAAGGGCGTAATCTGCTTGTACACCAATGACATTAGTAAGCGATTCTGTGCAAAAAGAGACATTGATTCTCAGTTGCCGAGACAAATTGAACCGGTAACCCTTTTCCCGGAAACCCCGGCTGCGCGACAACTTTTCCATCGCGAGACCACACACGTCGCGGGGGAACAAGATTGGCGTGCAGTCGTCGATATATCTCTTGCGATTTTCTCCGCGCGGATCCTTTGCCGCGTTTCGCTCTCTGAATAATCATTGGCTTCAGACACGCGACGAAGAACTGTGCGCATCGACGACGTACGTCGCGATACGTTGTTCAGATCGGTCGCGTTAGTACGACACGTTTCGCTCGCTCGATCGACTCGAGGCGAAGCGTAATCGTGATTCTGATGCGAACGGATGACAGGTCACGTCGGCAGAAACGAAGTCACAAGAGCTCGTACTGGCGCAAGTGCATCCGCTGAATGATGTCCCGGCAATCGTTGAACACTCGCTTGATGTTCTCCGTGTCGACGGCGCATGTGAAGTGCGGGTAACAATAGTGCTTGCCATCGCCGCTGGCTGTGCTTATACGCTGAAAACAATTCCAATCAAATTTTCAAACGCTCTGAGAACGGGGAACACGAGTTCCACGGCAGAAATAATATTAATCGTGGCTCGTGGTAACAGAGGCTTCCGGATGTAAGTCGTGTCGTTTGGATAAGGTACTGTACTGAACGTTTGAGTAGCGTTGAACGATTGGGAGTAAGTTTCCCAAAGCATACGACTTACACTTACACGAAAGTCACTTATCAGCGATAAGTTCAAGTGAGTACGACTTGACTTACGAGAAACTCGTCCCTAATGAAGTACTTGGCCCTTATAACGTCTGGTGGTTCCGAGGGATCCACGACCACGCCTGGTTCGGACGGTGTCTGGTATCGCGCGAACTCTGGAAAATAGTCCTCTAATTTGTGCTTCCCTGCTTTTACCTTTTCCGCCAATAGATCCTGTTTGTTTAAAAATAAGATTACGGAAATTGTGCGGAGCCACCTACAAAGGAAACACACCAGTGATATGTACCGCCAACTTGTTCGAGTTTCGTTCTCGTCTTTCATGTCGAGATAAAGAGTAAAGAAAAGAAAGAAGGTGCTCGTTCGTACCGATTGTTCCAAATGCTTTTGAAGAGATCGAGACTTTCTCGAAGTCTGAGCTTGGTCGGATCTTCCCTGAGTACCATGTTATAACTACTGCACGCCGTTACAAATATGATTGCCGTTACGTCGTTAAAGCACTGTATCCATTTTCTCCTCTCGTCTCTCTGGCCACCGACGTCGAACATACTGCAAAAGTAATCGAAAGCTGCTTTACAATGTTCGTGTACGCTGAGGTCGATACCACG